CCTCAATAATTTCCTTACCAAACATGTTTGATTTTATATTCTTTGGTAATAATGATCTCCTTTCTCCTAATAGAATTTTGTAGATCTTTACTGGAAAGATAATATTTCCCAATGCACTGTGGTGGGCTCTTGATTTTACCTTATGCTATTATTACCTATTTCCTCATACATAGTGACATAAAATCTGTCTACCTAAAGTTCTTATAGGATGATGTTTTATCTTTTTCTGTGGTGTTATGAACCTAATGCCCAGCATAGTGCCTGGGCCATAGCAGCAACTTAGTATGTGGTAGCTATCAATATTAATTTTCATAGCAATAACATAGTAGATATAATGTATTATAATTAACTTTGTGTTTCAAATTAATGTCAGTAGGTACAAAGCGTTAAGCATAGTGTTTGACATTACACATTCACCATTTGAAAAAACAAATATGAAGTTCATTGGTGTTAGAAATAAAAGGGTAATGTACACATTCTCCACCCCACCCCATCGTCTCCATTCTCAGTACTGTTGCATACTTTTATCTTCCCTCATCTGGATGGCTTCTGTTTCCTCCCAATTCATATTCATGACTCTGATCTTTTCAGCCAACATTGCTGGTGGATAAACATCTATAAAATTAAATTTGATCATGTTATTCCACTCTTTTAAAGCCTTTAGATGGTAGTTCTCAAACTGTACTGCAGCATGAAGTTGTCTGGGATTCTCACTAGACAGGTTCTGATCCATTCAGGTCTATTCATACTGATTCAGGCCTGATACCAGGCCCAGGAACCTGTATTTTAACAAATGGCCCCAATGATTCTGAGAGAAGCACTGCTTTATTGATTCCCAAACCTGCAAGATAAAGTTCAAAAGCCTTAGTGTGAACCTCTGTGTTCTCTCCTTACATTCGTTCTCTTGGTCTTCTGTGGCTTCATCAACATCCATCCTGTCACATCTCTTGCCTTTATCCTTTTTCATAGTTTGCTCTCTCTCTGCCTTTTCATAGTTACCCCTTTGGAGAGGCTCTCCCTGGTCACCCAGGGTGGCTTTCTCTGCTGTGTCCCTTATTGTACCTTGCAGTCCTCCTTTCTTCAGAGCATCATTCTTACTACATGATCTTGGTGTCTTTACATGTCATTATGCAGATGTGAGGTTTGAGTTCTATGACTAGAAGGTCATCTTGTTTGTCTTTGTATCTCCAGTGTCTTGCACAAACTCAGGCGAATGTGTAAGAAATGAATTAAATACGGGAATGAAATTCAGAAACTCTTGGCTTTTTTAAGTCATATTTTGTAGAATATAAATTTATATTACTTACGTTCTTTAGGTTCTTAAGCTGTGATTTAGAAATTATTTCCTACCTTTAAACATGATTCCGTTCAGAACAGAGGTTTCAGCAAAGGAGGCAGAATAAGTAAAAATTATGGAAATAATTTGTGGAAGAGCAGCCGCTTGAGACTTTTTTTTACATTTTTCTTTCATTGAGGTATAATTGACATACAACATTACATTAGTTTCAGGTTTATGTTGTGATGATTTATATTTGTATATACTGTGAAATGATCACCACAGGAAGTCTAGTTAACATCCAGGAAATGCCCTTGAAGGATGGGTAAAGTATGACTTGAGTTGTAGGAGGAATGAGGAAGCATCATCCTCGCACAAGCAAAGGCACAAATGTGAGACACTGCATGGTTCTGGAAGGTACAGGTGGTTTAGGGGCGCCTGGGTGGCTCAGTCGGTTAGGCGTCTGCATTCGGCTCAGGTCATGATCCCAGAGTCCTGGGACTGAGCCCACGTTGGGCTCCCTGCTCAGTGGGGAGTCTGCTTCTCCCTCTCCCTCTGCCTCTCCTCCTCCTCATGCTCACTCTCTCCCAAATAAATAAAAATTTAAGAAAATGTACAAGTGATTTCATTGGGCTGTAGTAGAAGATATAGGGGTTGTGGCTAGAGATGAAATTGGAGGAATAGGCAGCAATATATTTTGGAGGATGTTTTGTGCTTTGCAAAGAAGTCTTTGCAAAGATTGTATCATTGGATTATAAAATGCTATTGAAGCCCCTTCAGCTAGGAAGAAACGTGGTCGATGGGAGGAGGATTGAGACAGAGGAGAGGCCAGTTAAGGAGATTTGTTACAATTTTATGATAGAAGAGTTTATGATTTATGATGAGCAATTTAAAATAATTTTATAATTTTTTTATAATATCCTTTGTTCATTCTGCCAGGTACTCTGATAGGGTTACACAAGATGAGTGAAATATAATTAGTTCCCATAGAGTACAGGAAAATGTAAATATGTAAAATACCTAATATATCAACATAACCAAGGTGTATACATTTGTGATTTATAGTAGATATAAAATGTTAATGGGAGCTGGATTCATTGTGGACTAACTTTCCTTGGGAGAATTAGGGTCTTGGTGGAAGAGAAGGGATTAGAATAGAAGAAAGAAGAGTATTTTGGGCAAAGAAATAAATAAAAGGTTTAATGGGTGGGGAACCATGGTTATGGTATGAGAGCCTGTTTGTTAAAGCTAGAAAAATATTTGGTATCAGACTGTAATGGGCCTTGAATGTTGTGCTGAAGGACTTTGTATTTTATCCTGGAGCTTTATTTTCTGATTAAGAAAATAATATATATTGACTGTGTACCATTTAAGAGGAAATATAAAGAAAAAAGAAAATATTCTATAATTCCATCACAAAATGTAATTACCAGTATTTTCATGTATTTCTTCCCAATGTTTCTCACCATGCTCAAATATATCCTTAACCATTCAATAAATGAAATCAGAACCATAGTGTGTGTGTGTGTGTGTGTGTGTGTGTGTGTGTGTGTGTGTGTGTG